TTACCTCCTCCGCTAACCTTCTATGTAAATTTACATATTATTCAAAATTACTTACATAATCATATATTTACATTTAATTCATCACTCAAATACTTAGTATCAGATTCGTCTTCTTTCCCCTTTTTTTTCCTGCAGAAACACAGTTTATTCCTAAGAATGTAATGTATTTTTTATTTATTTTTTTTTAAAGTGTATACTTATTAAGGTCCTCCGCTAACCTTCTATGTAAATTTAAATATTATTCAAAATGACTTACATAATCATATATTTACATTTGATTCATCACTCAAATACTTAGTATCAGATTCGTCTTCTTTCCCCTTTTTTTTTTTTTCCTGCAGAAACAGAGTTTATTTCTAAGAATGTAATGTATTTTTATTTATTTTTTTTTTAAAGTGTATACTTATATTTTACCACTGTACATAGTTTTAAGTGTTTTGTATATAGATTTTTTTTATTTTGTACATAGTATGTTTAACTAATATTTTCTTTACTTTTTTTTTCTTTATTTTTACTTTTTATGTTTATTTTTACTTAAGCCAGATATAATACTTTAATTTTGTACTTTTTTGTTATTCTAAAGAGTCTTTGTCCCAAAATAAAATTATTTTCTATTCGAAGTACCTAAACTTCTCCATATGTTTTCAAATATATTTCCTTCAATATCAATAACACTTAAAATCTCACCATTTTTGCTGCCTACCGTATTCGTTGTCTTATCCATATTTGTTTCGAGCACCAGTTATTTACCGCCTTTCATGAACGCAGTTGTATTTAGTTTTGTCGTTTCCGTGTCTTCGCATAACAGCACTTACTTATCAATAGTACTTCTCTGACTTTCTGATGAGCCAGACACAAATCCCCAACTTTTCAGTTTTCCCTGTCTGTAGACAGCCTGGTTTCAGGATCATTATAATTTATGATAAAAACAATTCATTAGAAGGATATTTATTCTAATATCAAAACATCCATCACAACTACTATTTTATTATAAAATTTATTAATCTTTATTTATTCAACAATAAAGTATAAAAATAGTCTTGAATACCTAATAGCATACATTAGAAATTATCTTGTAAAAAATACATTGTAAAAAATACATAATAATTTGATTTCTTGTCACAGCAGGAGAAAATAAAACAATTCAGGGTATGTAGTTTTATGGTATTTATAGTATATCTAGTCTTCATTAGAGCAACCAATCAATAACCACTTTCCTAATAACTTGGCCATTATGCTAGACCATTATAAATTATTAATCTATAAACATATATTGTATGGAACTAACATCAGTCTTGCAATTATAAACAATAATAATGACCTAACAAATAAAAACTAACCATAAACATTTAGTGAATATATCCTGTGCTTTGCACCTTATGTAAGAAACCTAAAATTACTTTTAAATACTTTATATCACAGAAAAGTTCAAAAACTCTTAACTAACTATTTGGTACACATAATTTATAAAATACATAAATAATAATATTAACATCAATAAATAATAATATATATAAAATAATACAAATTTGTATATCCAATGAAATAATATAAAACTATTCCTATTATTCTATCACAAGACTAAAAATGAATGATTAGATACAAATAAACAATCTTAAGTACTAGATTCTATATTATAAAAGTACAAAACAGTCGTTGATTTCTAGTCAGTACAAGAAGCATCGTTTTATTTTCTTAGATTGGTAAGATTGCCTTAAATAAGACTTTAAATTTTATATCACAGCAAAGTTATTTGATCAAATATTTATTTGGCACATGACATATAGAATACAAATGTATAAGTGTGCATGTGTGTGTTTGTTGGTACATTTTAGAAAAAAACAATTTATATTATAGAAAATCGTAAAAAGTAATGGAGAATGACGATAAATTATAAATAATAATTTGTGAAAACTAATATTATTTAACGGAAATAAATCACATGATTTCAAGGAAATTAAATGAAATTTACCAACTAAATGTGAAATTTTTTTAAGTTTGAAAAAAAATTATTTAAAATCCACCTAACCAAGAAAATTGCATTGTTAAAAAAACTATTTCATAGTAATTATGTAAAAAAAGAAGTGAAATATAAAAATATTTCATGGATGTAATATTTAAAAATAAAATAATAATAATTTATTATTATTAATTAATTTTCTTTAATTCTGTAAAAGAGAAAATTAACAGTATAAATACGATAGATGAAAACGAAATACTAGTAACTTTTCAAGTTTATTTATTATCAGTCAATTTTACACCAATTTTTAAAATTTTGTCAACTTAAAGACATCATATCTAATTACGTTTCGGCTCGTTGAGCCATTTTCAAGCCTAATTTTTTTTTTTCAATTTACAATCATATTTAAAACATTACATATTTCAAAACATATAGAGATTCTTTTTGAGACATGACAAGAATAAAACAGTTTAGTATGAGCAGATGCACGCAATTCGCATAAGTGAAATGGACAGGTACATGATGGGTGTCTATGTATAGCATTTCCAAGTCAATTTCAACCTTTTCCAAATCAAATTCAACCTTTTCCAAGTCAAATTAAACCTTTTCCATTTCAAATTCAACCTTTTCCAAGTCAAATTCAACCTTTTCCATTTCAAATTCAACTTTAGAATTTTTGTCAATTTTCGATTTTTTTCGAAATGAAGGCCACTTACTATATTATCGACGGCATAGCTTTTAAAAAATACAAAAAAAAAATTGATTACGCAGTTGCATATCCATTTATTTTAACATTTTAGATTTTTTCAGTGTGATATTTCTATGTGATATTCAATTATTTCCAAGTCAAATTCAACCTTTTCCAAGTCAAATTCAACCTTTTCCAGATCAAATCAAACTTTTTCCAAGTCAATTCAACCATTTCCATTTCAAATTAAACCTTTTCCAATTCAAATTCAACCGTTTTCATTTCAAATTAATGTTTTAAGTTTTTGTAAATTTATATATTTTTTTTTAAATAATGGCCATCCCCTCCCCCCCTCCAATATGAAAGTCTATTATTATGCTCTCCTAAGTAGAATTTTCACTTACGGATATCGATTTATTGTACCTATTCGGATTTCTTAGGGACTAGTATTATGCTGTCCTGTACCTAGTTTTGAAAATAACCTCCATTTTAAGATTACGTGACTGCGTTTCGAATCATTTAAGTTTTTTTGACAAATTCGATATGTGGGTGTATTTTTATGTTTCCCGATCAGTAAATTTTGAAAATGACATCCATTTTATGTTTACGCCACTGTGTTTTGACTTATTTAAGTTTTTAGAATTTATCCAATATAAAGGTCTACTTTTATGTTTCCGGAGCCGTAGATTTTGAAAACGACCTTCATTTTAAGATTAGGCCACCGCGTTTCGACTTATTTGAGTTTTTCGGATATTTTTCATATGAGGGTGTATTTTTATGTTTCCGGAGCTGTAGATTTTGAAAATGACCTCCATTTTAAGATTAGGCCACCGCGTTTCGACTTATTTGAGTTTTTCGGATTTTTTTCATATGAGGATGTATTCTTATGTTTCCGGAGCCGTAGATTTTGAAAACGACCTCCATTTTAAGATTAGGCCACCGCATTTCAATTTCTTTGAGTTTTTCGGATTTTTTTCATATGAGGATGTATTCTTATGTTTCCGGAGCCGTAGATTTTGAAAACGACCTCCATTTTAAGATTAGGCCACCGCATTTCGATTTCTTTAAGTGTTTCGAATTTTTATCATAAAAGAGTGTATTCTTATGTTTCCGGAGTCGTAGATTTTGAAAATGACCTCCATTTTAAGATTACGCCACTGCGTTTCGGCTTATTCAAGTTTTTCGAATTTATCCAATTTAAAGGTCTACTTTTATGATGCCGGAGCCTTAGTTTTTAAAACGACTTACATTTTAAGATTAGGCCACTGTGTTTCGGTTTTGTTAAGTGTTTTTGATTTTTCCTTCGAATAAAAAACATAATACGAAGGATTAATTTATTTTTCAATAAATAAATAAAAATATCTAATCAAAATAAATAAAATATGTATTGTCTCATTTTTAATTTAATTTTAGTTATCTTTTTTAATGTTGTGGTCTCCTATCACAAAATTATAAGATTTCGAACAATTAGCTGAAAAATCTGAATACGGAAGGTTAAATTTATTACCAGTTGCTTTTCGGCTTTTTAGTTTGTATTCTGTGGTTAATTTTACTTTAGCTTCATAATATTTATTTATTTATTCATACTCGAAAACATATTGATGAAACTTTGTATTGAAAAAATCCAAAATGAAGCCTAATTAATCAAGATGCAGCGGCTTAATCATAAAATGGAGCTTAAATATTAGATAAATTTAAATATTAAAGATTAGAAAAAATTCAATACGTCTCGGATAACATATAAGTAGATCCTTATACCGAAAAAGTAAAAAAAAAAACTTTTATAATCCAAAACAGTGGCATAAACTTTAAATTGGGTCATTTACAAAATGGGGGAAATCTACTGCTCCAGAAACATAAAATTAGACCTTTATACTTGTTAAATTCTAAAAATTTAAATAAGTTGAAACGCAGTTGCGTAATCATAAAATAGAGGTCATTTCCAGAATCTACGGTTCCGAAAACATAAAAGTAGACCTTTAAATTGGATAAATTCGAAAAACTTAAATAAGTCAAAATGCAATGGCGCCATCATTAAATGGATGTCATTTTCAAAATCTACGGCTCAAGAAACATAAAAGTAGACCTTAATATTGGATAAATTCGAAAAACTTAAATAAGTCAAAACGCAGTGGCTAATCATAAAATGGAGGTCATTTTCAAAATCTACAGCTCCGGAAACATAAAAATACACCCTCATATGAAAAATATCCGAAAAACTCAAATAAGTCGAAACGCGGTGGCCTAATCTTAAAATGGAGGTCGTTTTCAAAATCTACAGCTCCAGATACATAAAAATACACTCTCATATGAAAAATATCCGAAAAACTCAAATAAGTCGAAACACAGTGGCGTAAACATAAAATAGATGTCATTTTAAAAATTTACTGATCGGGAAACATAAAAATACACCCTTATATCGAATAAGTCAAAAAAACTTAAATAATTCGAAACGCAGTCATGTAATCTTAAAAAGGAGGTTATTTTAAAAAACTACTCATACGATAACAGACCCACGCATCGAAAAATTAATGATAATTAAATAAATAAAAAAAGGTTGAATTTGAAATGGAAAAGGTTTAATTTGAAATGGAAAAGGTTGAATTTGACTTGGAAAAAGTTTAATTTGATTTGGAAAAGGTTGAAATTGACTTGGAAAAGGTTGAAATTGACTTGGAAATGCTATATATAAAAAATCTTTATATTTTGAAATATGTAAAGTTTAGATATGATTGTAAATTGAAAAATTTCTTTTAGACTTGAAAATGGCTAGACGAGGTAAAACGTTGTAATTGAGATGTGTAGTCATGAACTTGATAATTTTAAAAATTGGTGTAAAATTGGCTGAAAATAAATAAACTGGAAAATAAATTAATTAATTTACTCATCAAGAACAGAGCTTGTCCAGCACTGGCCCCAAAGAAGTGGTTTCGGAACCCATGCAAGACTTCCATCCAAGGAACTGGAAAATATCTGGTAGCGGTATTCGCTGAAATGACATATTTGTACAGGCATTATATGCCCATGTTGAAGAACACATGTCATATCCATCGTTTGGAAATCGTAAACTACTATATCTTGATTTTCAGGCATGAATATTAGTCCAGGCTTTGAAGTTCCACTTAGTGCAAATTGGTATCTTACGTTCCTATTATAAGGGACATTATTAAATGGCCCACAATGAGAAATTTTATGCAGTTTGTGAGCATTCCACACCGTAAGTGTCCGGTCTGGATTTAAAACAACTAGATCGTCTGTGAATGAAATAATTTCAAAATTAGGCAGAACACCACTAATAGCACAATTGTCTCCATTAACATACATAGGCTTTCTAAATTGCCTGATGTCCCAGAAGATAACTCCATTATCTCCAGCTGTTCCTAATAAATTTTCATTTCGACCACACCAGGAAATTGAAAGCACACCACTAGGATGAAATGGAGCAGTACTAGTCAAATTTCCAGATTTCAAATCTACTAAAACGACATCCGGTAAAGGTGATGCCACTGAAAAAGATATATAAACTTGGATTAACTACAATGTTTCATAAAGCTTAAATAAGATACTTTCATAGCAATATTAAATATAAATAATTTTCAAAATATTAAACATTTAAGTGGCCGAGCAGGCTAAGGAACATGCAAAAATGCACTCAATGTTTAGAAAGACTTTTTATTGATTAGAACCAAAGGTTTTGAGTTCAAATTCAAACATTGGATTCTACACATAAAAATAAATTTAAAATTTTTTATTTTTATTTTTATTTTTTACACATATTCCTGGCTCACAATAAATTTGCCATCTACCTCGGTATTCAGCAAATATGATATCAAGGAGAATAAATGATAGCATAAAAAAAAAGAATAGTAATAACAAAACAAATAGACAAAAAAAAACAGTAGTAAAATGAAAATAAGATAACATAATAACACACAAAAAAAGATAATACAGCAAGTAGCTCAATGCAATAAGTCTCTTGGCCAGCGCCTCAGCAGTCTTCTGGGCGGATTATATGGATTTGTGGCAGTAGATAGAGCTTGAGTAAGTGGATTTGAATTTAGAGTCAGTCTGTCATGAAAATTATTAAAGCGGTCTGTGGCAGTTGCCGTGATGAAAGGAGTGTTAAGGTCAGTGTGTAACGTAAGGTTTGAAACATAAAAGGGTGCGTCTACAATTTTCCGAAGGACTTTTGACTGGAATGACTGGATGATTTTTATATTTGATTTCTTTGCTGTTCCCCATAGTTCGATTCCATATGTCCAAAGTGGTTTAATGAGGACTTTGTAAATAGTTAATTTATTAGTCACAGATAATTTAGAACGTCTGTCAAGTAGCCTAGAAAGAAGTCCGTATCGCTGATTAAGTTCTTTTCTTTTTTGTTTTATGTGGTATGTCCATGTCAGTCGTTTGTCCAAGTGGAGACCCAAATATCGTACAGTTTTTGAAGGTGGTAGAGCGATATTATTAAAGAACACTGGAGGACAAGAGTCATGTCTAAGTGTAAATGAAACAAATTGGCTCTTAGACTCGTTCATTTTTATCCTCCACCTTTTAGCCCAACAAGCTATGTCGTCTAGGTGTTCTTGAAGTACCTGAGAAGCCTTAGCTGCATCCTTGTCAGATGTTAATATTGCCGAGTCATCAGCAAATGTAGCCAACAGTGTTTCTGAATGTTGTGGGATGTCTGAACAGTAAATGTTGAAAAGTGTTGGACCCAAGACACTGCCTTGAGGTACTCCAGAGCTTTTATTTGTTTGATGGCAGAAAATTCAGCCTCCATTCTCACAGGAAAAAATCTATCTTTTAGATATGACAGTAAAATTAAGTAATACGTCGAAGGAATAATCGTTTTTAATTTATGTAATAAACCATCATGCCATATTTTATCAAAAACCTGAATCATGTCAAGAAAAACACCAGGACAGTACAATATTGATTCTAGCGAGAAAGATAGGTAATCTACAAGGCGGTAACATAGCTGAATAGTCGAATCATGCTGTTTGAAACCGTATTGGAAATTTGGAATGACATCAAATAATCAATGTGAATTTAAAGGCCGAAACAGAATTTTTTCGAATACCTTAGATAGAGAAGGCAGAAGACTAATTGGGCAGTAAGAATCAGGACGGTCTACAGGTTCATTGGGTTTGTGAATTATAGTTATGATTGAATATTTCCATAAAATGAAAATGTTCGTTCCAAGAATGGAATTGAATATGTTTGTTAAGAATATAATGGCCTTTTTTGGTAAATTCTTTAGAATATAGTTAGTTATGAGATCGAACCCTGAAGATTTTCGATTAGGTAAACTATTTATAATACTGCTAATTTCATTTGGATGAAAAGGTTTCAGCGGGGAGGGGGGGGCGGTCACCCCTAAAGGAATATCTAATTGATAGTCTGTGGGCCAGACCCCCTTACCGTGCATCCCCCCCCCACATCCCTATAAATTGCATATCGTTGTGTTCCTTGTGACAATATATTAAAAAAAAGCCAATGTTCCCACAAAAAAAAGTGAACGAACTGCCCCAAAATGGCGTCCAAACATGGCGGATTGACGACTTTGACTTTACTTAGTTTTTTTGTTACTGAGAATCAGCATTTGGCTTAATTTTATTATAGCTGGTCTTTTATTAAAGCAGGATAGTCAGAGAATAATAAAACATGAAAAAATATTAAAAACTAATTGGCTTAGGCACTAAAAAAAAATCGGTAAAGTCAATTTTTTTTACAAAAAAATTTTCAAGTTGAAAATCAAGCGTCGTTTGTAATTAAACGGTCAACAATAATGCAAAATGTGCTGAAATAAAACATCTGGAAAATACATTTCTCTTTCTAAAACACTGATTACTTTTTAAAATATTTGAAGTAGTTCCGTATAAAATGTACTTAAGCGGCAGAAAAGCGCTACTGGCGTGGGTGCCTACAGGCCTCTACCACACCACTCAGCACTCATAAATGGCTTAGTTATAGTGCTATAATAACATTTTTGTTATATTTTATTGATTATATTAACGAACAAATATTAATACAATAATTTAATTGTAAAAAATTATTTTTTTTTTAATTTATTATTTTTGTTTTTATTTTTCATTATTATTTTTTTTTTAATTTAACATCATTTATTCTATACGGAGATCGCTTAAGAAGGCCTCTATTATAAAAATTATATTGAGCATTTTTCTATTTTAAATATTTAATGGTTTTTCTGAATAAATCTGAATCTACTGGTAGTACCACAGTATTATCAAGGTTAGATTAGATGTGAATTTTTTTACTCCTACTTCTTTTATGAGATCATCGCAAAACTGTGCAAAATGATATACTGCTTTTACATAGATTGGAGTTGGTTTGGGTACAACTTATCTTGCTTGCCCATCAGAAGTTTGGCATTGAGTTCCGTCATCGACATTTAAGACTGTGAATAGATTCACTGACTCAAAACTATTTTGTTGTAATGCACAAGATTCACTCTTGTGAAAAAGAGTTTTTCCTGGTTACCTCAATCTATTCATTAGATAAGCTTGTTCTAGCTTCTGAAGTAGATTTTATATTATGGGTAGGTAATTTAACTTCATTAATTTTTTTAGGAGAGATAACCTTCTCACCTTGTGTTGTGGTTTTCACTTTTGATGTCTTTGAGAAAAGTGTCATTCTAGATTTGATATTCGCTTTTGGATTCACAGATTAATGGTCTAATACATGTTCACATTTTGTATCAATTATTAAAATTGTGATAAAAGTAATGTCCAAAAATAAATTTAATAATGGCTAACTTTACCCAACACTAAAGGGACAAAAAAAGCTGTTACTTTCACCAGAAAATCGCTAGGATAAGGGCAAGATAGTACCGAATATTTAGTAAAGATTTTTCACAAAACTTTTATCACTAGATATTGCGGAGCACCCCTGAATCATGGTTATATCATTATGACTATCTAATTCTTAGTTTTAAGTATTCATTTTATTTCGGATTGGAATAACCAACAGATGATTGGAAGAAAAACAAAAGAGAGTTTAGAGAGATGGCAGAACCTCGCGAGTGTAGAGGCACGCTAAGGATTTTTGTGAGTGAAATAATTTAGTTTTATGGTGTATACCAGATTTTTCTTTTCCTCTCCAAGAACCTGTGATTATCAGCGACGAGTGCCGCTTGATTTTACAAGTTGGTGAATGAACATTTTCACAGCTTGAAAAGATAGACTGGGGAGACAATGACGACGCTAGCTGGAATAAGTTCCCGCTTCCTCAGATAACCCAATGTGCCAATTGGAGAGAGTTCAACCAGTGGGATATTGTAAATATGTATATATAAGTTTTTGTTACCTATCTATTTTTTTTTTATCCTAATGTTTGTAATTGGTATATTGAATAGTTGTAGATTGATGTTACATCTATAACTAGCTGGTGTACCCCGTCGTTGATGGGTGTATAGTTAAAATTTGAGAATATTTTTTTGAGATGAATTTTGTATTATGGGAAGAGAAGGATCCAAAATCAATTTCATAAATTGGGTAAATTGGGTCGGGAGGGGAGAGGGGGATTGTTTTGATATTGTTTATGGCGGGGCTTACAGAAGCCAAGGTTTCGCAATAGTCATAACAAAAACTTTGTTATTCGGCTATTTGTTTAGGTAGCACACAACTAAACCGACCACCACCAATCCATTAAAATTTGTTAAGTGTTTAATTCTCATTTATGATAATGCGAGGAGATTGTGGAGTCGATTAATTAATCAAAAAGAGTTGTAGTCTCTCCACTTTTTTAAACTCTCTTGAGTTTATCGCTGGCAAAATAACCAAAAGAACATTGGACATTGAGTCACCTACATCCTTGTAAAATTAGAACTTGATCTGAATATTGTGGCCGTCGGGGTGAATCTTTTGGAGTTTGGAGAGGAAAGGGATTTCTGGCTAATCCCTTTGGTTAATCCTAAAAATGTATACAACAATATTTGTTAGGCTTGGAAAGTTGAATTGAATGACACCTTGAATGGGAAGATCGGGCAAAGTTGAAAAATGAATGTGTTTTAGCCGTTTTATGCGACAACGCTTACAGATGTTCGGTATTCCGGATTTTTCCCGTTGAGTTGTGATAATTTTCTCCATCATTTGAGTAGTACAACATTTAAATGTGGCTCGTGGTAGAGTAGGTTGGGATTAGAATCGAAGTAACTGCCTAAACGGGATCTCTAATTATCAAGAATTCATAACTTTGGTTCTACTCCATATTTTGTTTTCATTTAAAGCCTATATTTTAAGTCAAGCAAGCCTAAATGCAATGTCAAAATTTCAAAAGTCCACCATTAACCATTGCCGAGCTTACCCCTGACAAAATTTCGTTGGACAATGCGGACACCCAGATAGACAAAATGTTTTTTTAATAGTGGATTTGGTGTCTGTAATGTATAAAACGGAAAGATATCATGAAACGGGTTGATTCTATTCAATGTACAAACGAAACCTTTAATTTATTTATATAGATGTTCTTTAACCTATAAACATAT